CCTTTTTGCCCACTTAGAATGACTCCTATCATGTTCCTACAATGCAGCCATTTTTGTGGGGACTGAAAAAAGATTTTGTCAGTGAGCAACAGGACCTGGTTCAATATGAGAAAAATAGAAAGAGACAGAAAATAATTAGACTTTGAATTAAAAATTCTTGTATCCCTGTCTGAAAGGTCATTTAAAGCAGTAATCTTATTTTGTTGATTTAGAGGAAATGTCTTAGCTTTGATTAAGTCTCGCATATTAGTATGAAAAATTTAATATCTGTGGTGCATAGAGCTTGAAATATATTGAGCATTGACCTATTTAATGCTGTGTCTTTCACTATTACCAACATACTTTAAAACTATGGCTCATTATGCAAATTGTTATTTGGCCACAATCCTATATGGGTCAGGGGAAGTCAGGCAGGAGCACTAGTCTGAACTAGATTGAACTAGCAAGGGGGCTCTTCCCTCATTAGCCACAAAGGATGGGGATCCCTACCTCTTCATATAGCAGAGAAGGGGGAGCGGTAACTTTGGTTCCCCTCGACACTCACTGCCCCAACCACAGGGGAGGTACTATGTGATTGAGAAGAGCATTTAACTCCATGCATATCTACATGGCCAACTGAAATTATGGAGATGGAATTGATATTAGCAGTTCTGGCAAACAATTTTTGCCAGCCTTTCTTTAGATTAACTGAGTCTTTTTCACCATGCTCTCACCACTATATGTAAGGCTATATCAAGATTTCTGAGGAGGTCTATAAAGATGATCTTCTGGGGATGTATCTGAAGCTTAGATAAATTACTTAACATAAGAAGAAGGATGAGTGTGTGAATAAAAGAGAGATTTAGCCCTCGCAGCCCCAGTCTCTTGCTTTCTACATTCCTTCACCATCAACACCTAACACCTGCAATAGCCACTTACAACACATTTTCTGACAGGTTAATTAATCTGAACTGCAGAGAGAGGATTTGTTATGAAAATAATGTTGAAAGGAGTATTGGTTAAACATTTGTGAAACGTATACCTTGACATAAATGTAGGTACTTGTATGGTAGAGAAGGCCCCATAATGTCCTCCTCAGCTATGTCAGAAATGTTCAATATAATTTATTTCCCTTAGGACTTCCAATGTTGATTTCATCCTCAGATAGTTTCCTGTGCTCGTTTCTGAGACAATCTAAGCAATATAAGTGTCTGCAGACTCTTGGGCTTTAGAGTCTCTTGGTGTTCTCTCTCATGTGCTGTATCCACATTTGATAGAAATCTATTCACCTACTGAGTTCAAGGGATGTAGCTACATTTTGGGCACTTCAATGACTGGGTAGTAGAACTGACTTCTATGTCCCTAAAGCCCGACTGTGGGGATGTAATCCAGCCACTAACATAGGCTGCACTGACAGAATTTGTAACTTGCTTGAACATGAATCATTTTGACAACCTATAATGGCAGTAGTTCAGCTAATGGAAATATATTCAATGACACAGCCATAAGGAAGCAGAAATTCTAAGACTTTTCAACAACTATGAGAAAAGAAGTGATTTATAAAGCTACATCAAATGCCTTCTAAGTGGCATTTTAAACCTGTGGTGTCCAACCAGTTCTGAAGCAGTAATCACTATGGTGGCTATAACTATAGTGAACTAGCCACACTCAACCAGCCAAATAGACACATGTGGCTAGCGGGCAGTGTGTTGGACACCATGGCTGTGTCTACATTGGCACCTTTTTCTGGAAAAGGGATGCTAATGAGACACTTCGGAATTGCAAATTCCGTGGGGGATTTAAATATCACCCGCGGCATTTGCATGAACATGGCTGCCGCTTTTTTCCGGCTCGGGGTTTTGCTTGAAAGTAGGAATAAGGGATCTTCCGGAAAAGGCCTTATTTTCCGCAAGATCCCGTCTAGACTGGCGCTTTTCTCCGGCAAAACCCCGAGCCGGAAAAAAGGACTTTTATACAGGAAATTTATAAAAACCAAAATTAAACAGGGTATGATTTTTCATATTGAAATGAAGGAACCACTTATGTTTCATAATAAGCTATAGTTGTGATAAGATACAGAAGCTGCTACCTGCTGGGCATCAATCACTCAGTTGTTTAGGAAATGTTTCAGCTATGATTATAGTGTGCACATAAACACCGATTTTTTAAAAGTTATCTGCACCTTATCTTCTGGGCTATTCCTAATGGGTTCACTTTAAATGGAACTGACAGTGTAATCAATTTCGGAGATAATTAAAGTGAGGATTAGAAATAATCAGTAGTAGTCTGTGTTCATTTTTAATGTTCCTTTCAAATAACAAGGGCCTCTTCAGTTTCAAGTCCTATAGTCTTGACTGTTAGTGTTTTGGCACATCCACTGCTAAGAAGTTAAAAGTGCTTGGCAGTCACAGACAGAAGGTTATGACACTTTAAGGTCAGTGGAAGGGTAAAAAGTGAAAGTTCATCTCTCTATGCAAAACATTAGCTTTGTGAGTCTTTCATTAACTTTAATGGAAGGCATAGGGTAAATATATTCCATACAGAAAAGAATCCCATCAATCTAAGAATAGATTGAGCAGCTTAATCTGCCTATGGCTAATGTTGCAGATGCTACTGTGCAGAGGCTTCAAAAGCTCTCTGTGTATTATAACTGTGGAGGCTACATCATATTCCAAAAAAAGGAAACACTACAACAAGAGCAATAGTGTAAAATCTTTTCAGTGCTCTGCCTTGACACGAGACTGGAGTTTGGGACTGAGTATTATTGGCTTCTTGCTATAGTTACATGGTTTCCCCCCGCCCCCTACATAAAAATGTGCAGGCCATTGTCTCTATGGGTCAGTGTCTGATACTATAGCATAATATGGAGGCCAAATTTTAAGTATAAAAATGGTTCTCTCTTCAGAATCAGGCATAGAGTTTTCCACCGAGCACTAAAAAGGGAAAGAAATAATATGCTAATTACTGGTTTGGATTCCCTTCCAATGGTATCTGCTCCTGCAGAGATTCCTTCACCTCAGTGAAACTCTTCAGCTTTCTCCAAAAACACAACTCAGATAATGACAATATGAATCTCAAACTGTCCATAAGGATTTATTCAATGGTCTCTAGGTGAAATCCTTCAGCAGCTGCAAGTTATACATCAAAGTACTGTAGCTAAAGAGCTGGACTGATGTTTAAAATTCAGTTAAAGATGTGAGACCAAACTGTCTGCTTGTGTAAACTATAACTGTTCCATTGACTTTTGGCTTACAGCCTCAGGCTCTCATTCACCCTCTTTTGGACAATGGATAGCAGTTGTATTTACAGGCAGCCCCCAGGTTACATGGATCCGACTTACATCGGATCCCTACTTACAAACGGGGTGAGGCAACCCCACACTAGCTGCTTCCCCCCAGCAGACCAGGGAGACGCGAAGCTAGCGCCCCCCTCCCAGCAGACCAGGGAGACGTGGAGCGGCTTTTCTCAGCAGACACCTTAGCTTGAGAATAAAGGACTGAGGGAAGTGAGGTGTGGGAGAATAAAACTGAGCTCTGGAGAAATGTTTGGCTAGAGTTTCCCCTACAATATGTACCAGTTCCGACTTACATACAAATTCAACTTAAGAACAAACCTACAGTCCCATTTCACAGCCAGTTTTACACAGGAACCATGATTTACACAGGAACCACATATAGTTTTGAAAGAATACTTTATCAGACCCTAAAATCTAAATATAAAGGTGTACCAAAGCAGCTGAAAGGTGAGCAGCACTCTGAACTAGGCAGAGATAGGAAATGTTAGCATGAACCTGGAGAATATATGCTCCTGCTAATCATCCTACGTGGTTATATCAAGCAAAAATATGGCCTGATATAAACAAATCCAGAGTCCAGTTAAAGATGTACATTACTATTGAATATAAGAGGGAAAATGTAATTGGAAAGCTGTTGCCATTTTTCTATTTCTAATTCTGTCTAATTTTTAGCCCCCTATCTGGAAAAGTGTGGAAATGACCAAACGCGTGTGAAGCAAAAAAAAAAAATCACTGCAGTACAGCTGAAAAAGTTCTGACAGACTATTAAATGACTCCTTATCCATGGAGGATTCTAAGTCATTCTCTTCAGACGACCAAACAAACAAATGGAACACATAAGCTATGACTAAGCATTCAAGATTGTGGAGATGTTCATAAAAATATCTGTTGCTGTAGCAATTCAATTTCATGGTTTGATTTATAAATATTTATGTAACACTCATCACATAGTATAAAATTAAATCATTGTACAAGACCTTTAAGGTTGACCATTAATTAGTGTAAATTCATCCTTAGAGACATGTTAATGCTTCTTCATTTCAAGTAGACCAGAACTAACCCTCACCAAGACACCAGAAGTGAAAAACGAATGCTATGTCCATTAAACAGGTTCCTGTTACATATATTTGACAATGAGAACTCAGGGCAACCTTCTAAATCCATTTTAGCAGAAAAGTAAGGGATCAAACAATTAGCATAATGTTATACATACAGTGTGAATTTTACATTTTGTGTTCAAAAGTTCAAACGCTTGATTTAAGCAAATACTAGTCAGGGAAAGTACGTCTTTGCATCATCCTTATCTTGACTAGAATTAATAATTTTCTGGAAAGCAAATTTAAATTTCTGAATATTTTCTCCACAAAGTGTTCTTCATAATCAAGCAAAATTAAATATAAGAGAAACTGAATGCATAAGTCAACACAGACCGTCAATACTGTCTCCATATCAGCAAAGTGCTTATAGGTAAGATCTAAATCTGTTATCTTGTGCTGCTAAAACAGGCTTCTGGGGGTGAATGGAGGACTTTTTTGGAAATTACATTTACCACATTGGTCTCCCCCTCACTCCCGGAGGTTGTCAGGAATAGGAATCAACACAAGACATCTGGATCTACAATCATAAAACTCCTCCAACCTCTGCGGGGTTCTTTCTTTAGAGGGCAATGGAAAGCCATACCACATAGCTGCAGGTTATATACAGATAATAAAAGGAGCCAAAATACCTGATCCAACTTCCAGTGGAACTCTGCCGGGCGAAATGTATCAGCCTGGTCAAAGTCTTTACGCAACAGAAACACCAGACGACAGTTGTGCACATAAAGAGCATAGTGATGTCGATTCATTTCTAAAAATATATAACAATAAATAGGCTTAAAACCGTGAAGGGTCATAATTACTTTGTCTAACTCAATTTGCCTCAATTAAAAATTCTGCCTGTATTAATAATATACACTTCAAACAAACAAATAATATTCCAGTTTAATTTCAGATTCATACCTCATTTTGGGTCTACTGAAAATTGAAGGGGCTTAGCACCTTCCTGGATTAGGTCCTATCCATTCAGTTTATGGATTAATTAGGTCAGCATAGTTTTCCAATTAATATTTAATCTAACTAATTTCAATTAAAACTTAGCATTAATTTCCCAATTCTAAATAATGGAAAATTGAAACGAATTTTCCCCATGTTGTCAAGTGCTTTTAACAAAATCGTCAGATGAGGATTGCATAAGTATTACAGAAACTTACACTGAACTCATGACCATCCAACTAAGGCATGTGTAAAAGTTTCAGACACAAAATTCAGGATTTATGGCTTCCTTTCAAAATATATTAACTGAAGGGAAGGAAAACTCCTCCTATGCCTCCTATGTGATCTCTGTCAAAAAATGTGAATATAAACAGACTTACCTGTCTTGTCAGAGTTGCAGAGAATGGTTTCTTTTTCAGCTCTCAGTCCTGGACTAGGTCCATGTTTCATCCACATAGTGATAGTGAATTGATCAGTTAAATTTTTTGGTACTATTCCATCAGGAATTTTAGCTCCTTGTTTTCCATCAAATTTAAAAATCAGGTCATTGTTGTCTATTAGAAGTCCTGCTGTCCAGTTAGTTGTTTCACTAGGAGTGGGTAATAAGTCAATGGCACCCGAGGATGCTCCTGCAGATGACATATAATGATGAGATAGTAATGAGGAAAGCTATTCTTTTTATAAGCTGGATTCTGACACCCTCACTCCTGTTCAGCAGCATCATATCCACTAATGTTCCTAGTGACTCCAGAATCAGAAAACCTTTGTATGGTTCAGGCCTGTAACGCAACCCACAATGCACAGAAATGTGTATTAGAAAATGTTTTAGAGGTTTTGGTTTTGATGTTGTGTTTTATTAAATTGGTGGTATTATATCCCCCAGATATGTCAGCCACACTGAGTACAACTGTATAGGCACTGTAGTGAGCGGAATGATTTAGAAAGTTCTCATTATTATCTTAAACAGTTTAACATTATCTTATGTTTCACATCTGGTATTTCAGATACAATACTACCAAGGCAAGAAGAAAGTATTCTGTGTCCCAAAAGAAAGCTCAAAATCAACCCTTCCTGCTGGCCTTTGTATATAGCTCAGGGTAACGTGTTGTGATACAAGGTTTTATAGGCATGTGTTTGGGAGGACTGCATTAATTTCCTCCATGGACACATCACAGACAAAGTTGATAGATGTTAGTCGTGCTATCTTTATAAAATAGCACTGTAAAGATTCATAGCACTGTAAAATTTGCTTGTACTCCCATGGTAAAACCCTCAGGCCCCATCTACACCTAAAGTAAATAAGATAAATGTGGTGCCTGTTGTGATGTAATTAAGTGGAGCTGGCCCCCACAGTAGCTGCAACTAAGCTGATGGAAGAATTTTCCCACTGACATAGCTCCCAAGGTAGATGTAATGTACCAACATAAAACGGCCTTTCATTGCTGTATTAAGTGGCAGAGCTGCAGTGCTGCATGCTTAGCACTTGGAACAGAAACATACTCTCTGTATCCTATAATATATCCTTGATAGCTGTTACCATGAGTATCCCAATGCCTGCAGAGGGAGTGAAGAGATGCTTATGACTGAGGTCAATCAGTTGCCTTCTAAAAAGTGAATGATTAATGAAGTGGCTACACACTACCCAGTATTTCTTTGAGAGGCAATCTGAAAAAGAAAAATGGAAAATGCTACAGTGCAGTGGACATTAAGATGCTAGCAAAATGATTTAGAGGTATGTGGTTGTGGAAACATGATGTGGTTATCCCAGAAGAATGTGAACATTCCTGAATGCCTTTGTCAAGAAAAAGCGTCAAGGAAAAAAATCACCAAATGAATCAAAACGACTGAAATTGACGAGATGCCACCCCTAAAGGAGAAACACTCTCATCTCTAGAGTTGCATTCTGCATTTAGCTCTATGTGGGACCGTTTGCTAGCCAATTTTCTATTTATCTTATTACCACACTGCAATAATCAACATGGAGCTTTTGGATGGCATTTGTCACACTTAACAACTCTGAATTTCTTGGATATTTTCCCCACCCTTACGTTATTTCTAACAGACTTTCTTATTTAAAAAAAAATCTCATTTCAAAGTCATTTTCAAGTGACAGCATCATCAAAGCTAAAAATATATATTTGGAAGCTGTGCACAAGGACAAACTGTGTTTGTTTTATAAGCACTAACTGTGGATAGCACACCAGGTTGCATTGCCCAATACACAGATGTTATCTATTGGAAAACATCAAACTCTGTCTATCCAGATGGCACAATCTATAATAAACTTTGCAAATTTGTTTTTTTATTACTCAAGACACTTAAAAATATTTTACTTGCACATAGCACAAGTAACACTATCTTTTTCTAAAGGAATCAATCTTTGTTTTATGGATTCTTTTTAAACTTAAAAAAGGGCTTAGAAGTAATTTGTAAGAACTATGTACTAAAGAAAACTATATGTTTAAACTAAAAGAGATTTGTACTAAATAACTTATGGGATTAAAGAAAACGTTTCTTCCTCTTTATTAATCCTGCACCATGGTCAGAGGTAGCAATAAACATTTAGTAGGATAATCATGATAAGATCTAATTTTTTAGTTAAAGTGAAACCGTGAAAAAGTTCCCAAATGAAAAAATAAGCTTCCTAAATACCTTAGTAAAGCTCTAGTTCAGCAAAGCACTTAAGCAGGAGCCTAACTTAATGTGTCTGAAAGCATTGAGGCATCTCCAATGCTTAAAGTACCTTGCTGAATCAGGCCCCAAACTGACGGGTTCCAGTCAATCCCCCCATACTTGTTTGCAGATTTATTCCAAAAATAATGTTTGATTTGCATGTTCAGTATGAGTATGTCTAGACTGCATCCCTCTGTCGGCAGAGGGATGCAGATTAGGCAAGTCGACATTGCAAATGAAGTGGGGATTTAAATATCCCATGCCTAATTTGCATAAAAAAGGCCGCCATTTTTGACAACTCAGCACTTTGTCGGAAAAAAGTGGCAGTTTAGAGGGGGATTTGTCATGAAAGGAAGACTTTTTCGAAAGATCCTGTAAACCTCCTTGCAGGAGGCATAAAGGCATATGTCAAAAAAGGCTTTCTTTCTCGACATATCCCCCTCTAGACTGCTGCTTTTTGCCAACAAAGTGCTGAGTCGTCAAAAACGGTGGCCATTTTTATGCAAATTAGACACGGGATATTTAAATCCCCGCTTCATTTGCAATGCCGACCTGCCTAATCTGCATCCCTCTGCCGACAGAGGGATGCAGTCTAGATCTCATGAAGCTTTATTGAGTTTTGACAGTTTACACAGGACTGCATTCAGTCCTGCTAAGTGATTGTTGAATCATTTACTGAGATGTTTCCTTCTTTAGTACAAGATATTTAATTCTCAACAATTACTTTGGAATCACCTGAATTTAATGTAATCCTAGAGAATATAAAAAATGAGTGGTAAGATGACTTTATATGTGAATTCAGATGTAATTGTCATTTGAAGCTCTCTCCTTTTGCAATTAATTTTTTATTCTGTATTGGAGAAAACAATCTCTAAAGTAATAAAATTTTTACCATTTGAAAGGGAATCTTGTCTGTGCTTATGCAACCGTCAGGGGTACTGAGTCAAATAACGAGCTCAAAGTCAACATGCAGGCAAGAATACATGTTCAGAAGAGGCATAGATGTAATCCTGTGCCATTGCTTTTGTGAGCGCTAGCAACTGCTCTCTGCTACAGCAACACAGTGCTCACCATAACTGCAGAGTATGTGGTGCAATAATGAAAGAGGTGTGGCTGCCCCAAAATAGCAACAAGTATGTTATCTACTGCAGGAGCCAGCAGCTTCCACAGCAACAGTGGCAGACACCTCCTCACTGAAGGGCCCCAACATTCTGCTCAGAGTATCAGACTTGTCTCACAAAGAGCCCACACTTCATTGCTGCCCAGGCTCTGGCAAGATTTACTGTCAACCTTTTAAAAACTTTGCTATTTTTCTGGACGGAAGGAGGGATATTTTAGATGTAGGTGGTTTCACACTCAGCAAACAACACAGTATGTCACTCCTCCCTTTACTAATGCTGACTCAAAGGCCTAATTCCACCCTCTGATGTACACAGGTCTTATAGACTTGGGTGCTACACAAGAGCCACAGCATTTTAAGACCTGAAAGGATCATCTAGTCTGACTTCCTGCAAGTCATAGGCCACCAACAGCATCAGCACACTAAGCCCAACAACTGCAATTAAACCACAATATTACAGCCCACAGGAAATTAGACTGCCATGCACCACAGGCAGAGAATGGGAGGGCCCAGAGTGTGTCAGTGCCTAAGGTCAGTTGCAATGGCAGGGAAATGATTAAGTGAGAAACATCCAGATAACCCAAGTAGGTGACCCACACTCACGTATAGCATGGAATGGTGGAAACAACAACAAAAAAAAAACCCCTCCCCAAGGCTACTGCCAGCCTGACCCAGGGGAAAACTCCTTCCTGACTCCACACATAGCGATCAGTTACACCCCTGAGCACATGCACAAAAATCAGCCACACACTTGAGACAGAGAACACTTGGTGCCCACTCTAACCAATGTCCTGTCTCTAGCTGGAGCCACCCTGTATGCTTCAGAGGGTGGAGGTTAAAACAATCACAAACACAATACATGTGGGGAATTTGTGTGGCAGTGAGGAGTCCCTTTCTGAAACATTAAAGCATGAGCTTTTAGCAACATAGGAAATAAACCAGAAATGAGCATCATTGCTGTTGAGCCTTGGTTCTCACCATTACAATTAACCCCATCATACTCAAATTTGTCCAACTCTTCCTTAAAACTAATTAAGTTGTTTGCCACCAGGACTTCTGGGAGGGGGATTGTTCTAGCACCTCACCGTATGGTAGTTAGACACCTTCTTCTTATCTCTAGCCTGAATTTGTACACATCCAACTTCTATCAATTTCTTCTTGAGCTAATATTGATGTTTAGCATATAAGCATGTCCACATGATTGGAGCACTAACTGGGACTGGAGAGACCTGGGTACAACTTTTTGCTCTACCACAGACTTCCTGGATGGTCTTACATAAATCACTTAATTCTTCTGTGCTTCTGTCAAATGGTGATATTAGCATTTCCGTATTATTTTATACAACTACATTTGGGAGGAAGGAAACAGTGGGATGATCATGGTCAATCCCTTTTTGTCCAACATTAACTGAATTGCTTAATCTAAATGTTATTTTAGTGGAGAATAAAAATTGGAAGGGGGTCTTTACTTTTGCAGAAGACAATAGATGATTTTTGTTCAAATTCCCTATATTTTAAAATGGATCAAGAGGCTGAGCTGAGGATTTGTTTTTTTAAAGCTCCTGTCATGCTAGTCTTTTCTAGAAATTACATTCCACACCTTGATTTTCAAAGTGGGAGTGAATCACTGGCATGCTGAATGGCAGGTATAAATGAACAGAAACATAAACGACTGCAGTTGAATGTCTTGTCCTTCTTCAGCAGTGGAATTCACTAGATGTCCACCAGATAAGGTAAGCAGTGAACACATGATTTGTCAATTGGAGCCTTAATTACAAAGGTTTGAGGGAGAGCGGTGCTTTATATGGCACAAGTGATTATTTCTCTGTAATCACT